TTCAGCGCTGCTTGTGGCTTTCGCAACAAGTCATGAGGCGTATAAGACCTCTCGCACTATGTGTGGGTTGGCTGAAGATGGGCATGAGAAACAGCGCCAATAATCGACAATGCTGATGCTGACCCAGTCGCCTGGCACCGATGATTAATGCCACTTTCGCCTGGCATTCATTTAAGCTTCGCTCCAAGGCGGAAATCTGAAGAAAATTGCGCTCACAATACCTTTTTGGAGGTCCAGCCCAGAATCCTTCAACGAGGACTCGTGGCGTGGGGTCGGCGTATTCAGGGGCCGATGCCAGGTGCAGCCATCGCCAGAGTGGGCAAGGGCTGAAGTGAGCCCGTAGAATGCCAGCTCATCTATCAAGCTTTAGAATGAGACAACTTTGCATACGACTGCTTGGAATGGACAACAGCGAACAACTTTGGAAATTTGGTTCCGCATTGAGAGAGGCCGGCACTAAAAGTCCGCTCTGCGCACGCAAGCAATGCAAAGAAAGGAACGAGCGTACACCGATGCCGATCAACCAAAAGTACGAAACAGACGCGACTTTAATCACACATTGCAGGCTTGCAAAGAACCAAACCTTGTGAGCGCTTCTATAGCATGTGCACGGTTCTGGAAGGCCTGACAGGCCTGGGCTGCTTGATGCAGGTGAAGCTATGGGACAGGGGCCTTTGCCCACACCACAATACCTGGGCTGAAGGCACCAGCGCCCTGACCAGGTCGGTGGATTTACCACCAGTTGACTCATTGACTCAGGTGCCTGTGCACGCTGTGGGCGCTGGGCACATGCAGTCGTGCTGCTCACAGCGATGGAGCGCCGGGCGGTGCGCTGTGATGCTGTGTCCCGGGATGCGGCGCTGCGTGCCTGTGTCAAGGCAGCCGTGGGTAGTTGGCTTTGGCAAAGGAGTGGGCCCATACAGATCCATACAGTACCCGTACCGGATGCATTTCTGATCTTCTTTAAGCCTGTTGAGGCGTCCTCCTGCCTGCATGAATCTGAGTCTCTGGAGATGGATCCTATAAGCATTGGCAGGACTCATGTGTTTGAGTAAGATTATCCTAAAGTAGTAATAGCCTGGCTCATTGCCCTTCTTCAAGGACGTTGTAGCGCAGGAGGCAGGTGTGGGTTTTCCATGAGGGGTGTATGGTGGGAGGTCCGAAGAGCCCCGTAAAGGAGGACCGCTCCGAATTGTTCATACAACTCTTCCGGACATATAGCTGGCGAGTAAGATTCACGCTCACGCGCACATTCTTCGGGAAATCGATGATCCTGTCTTTACGCTGGGACCGTGAACCGGTGTGAACCACAGTTTGAAGCAGGCACACCGGTGGGAAGCTGCTCTTCTACTTCTGCATGTTGTTCCAGACACAGTAAACGGCTGCAGCTTCGTCATCGAAGAGACTAGGCTGCAAAGATGCCAGGCCAGGTGAAGCAGGTTTGTGTTTCATACACCAGGCGTCCTCCCCCTGGTATCCCTCGCTTACATCACCTGCCCCGGCTTCCTCTTTCACCCTGACTCTTGTGGAACCCTTCCTCCCAGAGATGGGCGAAAAGCGGTGGTGGCAAGTGCAGCATTCTGCTTGCTGAGGGCTGTGAAGCTGGGGCACCTGCAGAGCTGCTGCCCGGCATCCTGGGGCGCCTGGACCAGGTGCTGATGCGTCAAGCAAGGTCCCTGTCCGCTGAACAGCTGTAGGTCTGTTGCACCTTAGATAGCCAGTGCTTGATTTCGTTCAGAAGGGGTGAACCTTGCATCGCGGATGCAGCCCCCAGCTTTGCATGTCTTCATATCTTGGACCGTCCCAATCTTGCATCAAGAGAGTGGTGGTTGGGAGCACGCTCTCTGCTCAATGCAATGCAGCCTCGAGCAAAAGTCGCGTGCTCTGCTCCAGGGCATAGACTCAAGAGGTGGGATCTCAGGTTCTCTATTTCTTGGTTTAGATCGTCACCAGGAAGTTTCTAGCTGGCGATCAGCAATTGCTTTTGGCCTTCTCCGCCCAAGGCCCATGAAGCTGCCTTGGCATCTGCCAGCAAGGTTCGGGAAAAACGCCCACATGGGTACAATGATCCGTTGCAGGAGTTCTGGCCTAGTTTTGTGGCTTCTATGAACTTGAGTCACAAAACTGCTGAACTATTTCTGTAGGTCATGGGCAGGTTTGTAGAGCTGAGCTATGCTGAGCTATCTGAGCTATGCTGAGCTGTTGTTTGCTCAGGCTGGTGGAGTCCGCTCAGGGGAAGAGGCCGATGAAGTGCTGCCTGAATTGATAGCTGCTGCAAGTTCCATACAAACTCAGCGTCAGCGTTGTGAAGTTTTTGCTAAGGATTTTTCTAGCATGGCTGGGCGCAGAAGCAGTGACGTCGGTCAATCTTTGTTGCTGCAACTCTGCAGGTGGATGAGCCGTGCACTCAGTTCGGTCTCAGGTCAATCAGTTGTGAATCAGGACAGAGGCTTTCTGCAAATCTGACTCCAGGCCCTCACTGCGCCTTCGGGGCAATGAGGAGCAGAGACGTCGCATTAGCTTGCGCCTACAGCACGAGGCCCGCCAGCTTGAGGAACGCTTGTCATGCATCGATTTCGTCAATCCTTCAAAAATTATTCGGCAGCTTTGACTCACTTCCAGTGCATGCCACGTTTGTTGCCGAAACCAGCGTAAGAAAGCATCTGCACTTTCGCTTTGGGAGACTTCGCAAGGTATCTTCTGGCATGTGGGTGGTGAGAACTATGCTTGATGCGGTTGGCCAGCCAGATGTGCAGGTTGTGGACTTGTGGAAGGCTTTGCAACAATGCAAAGAAGAGGCCCGCATAGTAATGACGTTCTTAACTGCAACAGTGGTTGCAGCCATCTTTGACATATCCAGGGCTATGTGTGCGTGTCTCTAGCACATCGTTCGACTTGGCAGGGTGCGAGCCTGAAGCATTGCAGTGAGGCTCCGGACTAGTTGCTTGCTAGGATCCCGGTCCCTGCCCCAGTAGTGAGCCTTGAGAAGGCTTTTGTTAGTGCAAGCATTTCCCTGAATGTCAATGGAGCTGTTGTCGTTGAATGAGCATCTACATTGTGGCATCGGAAACTTGTCAGTGCACTGACCAGATCTCTGTTCATTTTTTGGCAAAGTTCTCAAGGCAAGCTTGTATGGGCACCTCTCGACGCATTGTCAAACGGGCAGTGCTCATTGTGCATATTCTTGGCTGCCAGTCTCAAGGCGCGAAATGTACGCCGAGACCAGTGGCATAGTAAAGCAAGCAATGTGCTGACCATCAAAAAAATTGTTCTTGCATGTGTGAACATGTTGTATTGCAACCATGCGGTTGCTTTGTCTGTCCACAGCAGCTGTTTGTGATGACTTTCTCGATGACCGGCCTAACCCGTGAACTATGCACCGTCAAGCTACATAAGAAACAGGAACTCTTTTTGTGAATGCTTAGGTCACATCTTCTGTCTCTGTTTCATATGATGTAGCTTGCAGACCACTGCGACATGAATCATGTCTCGGCTAAGTTATCTTGACAGCGCTTCACGTAAGCCGTTGACTCAGAGGACTCAAGAGACTTTTGCTAGCACCCACAACCATGTCATCTCTTTTAGAAGCTTGCGGATGTGAGATGTCTGAGGACTGGACATGCTCCTTCATAGATGTCACAGATGAAGAGCGTCCTCCCTTGAAGCTACCGAGGACTCCAGCGGCCAGGAAGAGTTACCTCCTGGCTGCGAGGAGCCGACAGTCCTGAATTTGGAGATCACTTGAATGACCCCAGAGCACGTGCAAGGATGTGCCGGGTTACGCTCCGCTGCCAAGCATGAGTCCGTTCTTGCCATTTGTCCGGTCTCTAGGAAGTTTTTTTTTTTAATCCGCCTCTCTGACTTGCCTTCCACATTATCTTTCCGTATCTGCCCTGCATCAGTACTTTCATGCAGATTCTACTCTTTTACCATGCGATTCGTAGGTGCTTTGGACGGGAAATAATAGAGCTTTGTGATAGGCACAGTGAAGGCTACAGTGCCTCCACATGCAGGTTCAGCATGTGACAGAGTCAGTGCCAGTTCGCATTGGTTTGCCGGTTTGCCTGGCGGTCTGAGGTCTTGCGGGAACCAGCCCTTCAGCTGCAATTGTGAAGATAGAGAGAGCTTGAAAGACAGGTACCCCGTCAATGCCGGAAAGAGCAAACAGAGAAGGTTCTTGATGGGTCGGCACAAAGACACAATGCGGATTTGCTCCCAGACCATACAAACGGATAGGAATGTTGGCGGCAATCCAAATTGAGAGACATTGGAAGCGAACAAGAAGACCGCACGAGAGACGGGAACATGTGCGGACAGCGCTCAGGCTGGGGGCAATGCCCCCGGGGGGGTTCTAGGATCCACCTATAGCCCTGAAAGAAAGAAAGACGGGGTGAAAACGTCAATCTTAACTTCGTTGCCAGTCTCATGGAGCCCTCCTGACAACGAAGTGAGCAGATGACAGAAACACAATAAGGCATGACCGCCGCATTTGTCACCGGCGCCCCAAAAAAGGGGAAGCGCAACTTCCAGATGCTGTGGCAAGGATGGCAAAGTAACCAAGTAAAGCGCCTGCCGCGCAGCACCCCAGCAGACTCGTGAGAAGACCAGCCCCCACTATCCAAACCTATATGAGCAACAATCTAAGCTCCTGGAAGGGGGTTATCTAGGGGACTTATAGGGGAGTATAGGGGATACCAGGAGTCTAGACTTCAGCTCATATCAAGGCCTGGTCTATATCCTTTGATGCAGTCCAGAACTGGGCGACTCTGACATTATGGGGATAGGCAGATCCAGGCAGTCAACACGGAGCCCAAGCCAAAGAAAGGGGACCAGCTCGCTGCGAGTCAGCAAGAACTTGGCGGGTCTGGCATAGCCCGTGGTTCAAGCTGAAAATGACAGGAGTCACTGAGCTGAAGGCTTTGTGCGTGTGTTTTGGACAACACGCGCTCCCTCAGCACAGCACTCAACGATTTGGCTGTCATCGACCGCCTAAGCGGATTCAGCATGTGAGCATGCACTTGCGTAGGTGAGGTCGCACGAGCTCATGCAAGAAGAGCAAAAGGAAGAGGGAGGTCAACAGAGACATGGCTCTGTGGAACGTGTTCAGAGGCTGTAGTCAACGAGTTTGCTCTAGAAACTGGTTTGGCAGGCTTTTTGCCAGGATTTGCTGTTTTTCCTCTCGGCTGCATAGCTGCCATGCAGGGTGAAGATTCAGGTACAGTGCCGCTCACGGCAACTTTGCGCAGGTGATTTCAACTGTCCTGAGCTTGGACTGAGAATGTTGTGTCATCACATGAAAGGCTCATGAAACATGTCTCTCTGGTGTCGCGCTGAGGTGATTCCCAGAAATAAAGATGGTAAGCCGAATCCGCAACTGTCGACGCACCAGTTGCTATTTGCCGGATTCTCAGGTAGTAGCCCGAGAAAGGCATTTGTTGCTTTCGGCGAGACTAGCCAAGATCTTATGTGGCCGTTTTTTTTGGTGAGGACGATCAGCACGGGCGCGAGTCAGAGTCAGCATCTTGCTGGCATTGACAGGAATTGTCTTGCGCAATGTGATTGCCAGCTGCTTATGCTTCCATTCGCTTTGCAGCAGCAGGCTTTAGCCCACGCAAAGAGGCTGATTTTGGAGGGCGCTGCGCTAGTCAAGCAGGCCGGGGCTTACCGCGGGTGGCTTTGGAATTGCTGTGTGTAATTATAGAAGGCGGCGTCAAGCCTTCCGATGATACAGCACCGTTTGTGACATTCTCAAGTGTTTTTCCATACTTTGAGGGTATCAGCAACTGATTTTTCGAGTTCACGCCTGGCATGTTCCTAAGTGCGTGCGAGGGGCATGCAGCAGCCTGTACTCAGAGTGTAAGAGCAGGTGCCTACCTGTATGCTTGCCCATTTCCCTTGGAGACTGTCAGGCAGTTGCTGCTCAGCAACGAACCTTAGTTCACTGACGCTTGCTCGCAGCTGGCATATACAGCTTGTCTTGCTGGCAATTTTGCAGACAAGCGAGAGCACGAAGGATTTTGAAGAGCTAAGGCGAGTGGGGCCAGAATCGCTCAGGCTCGATTTGCTGTGCCTTTGCCGTCTCTTGGCATCACATGGCATCACGCCGCCAGCTTCTTTGTTTGTGGAATGCACATCTTGACCATTTGCTGATACAATCTTCGGCTCCCAGGTCTTATATCTGGGGTGGACCGCAGAAGAGGCTTGTGGACTGAATTTGGATTGCATGCAGTGGCATGTGGTCTCAAGGCGGTCAGATATTTTCGGGACCAGAACCTCTTGGAGCGCCGGTACCAGGGACAACATCCCATGAGTATCTTGACAGCAGCGTGTTGCCTTCCTTGAGCTGATGGAAGATTCATCCAAATAGCAGGTAACTCTTCCTTCAACAACCTAATGAAGGACTGCTTTTGTTGTGGACTCCACGTAGTTAGCATTTTGAGGGCTGCACTTTTTTGCTTGCGGGAATGTTCTGCAAGGAGATAGAGGGTGAGAGGTCAAAGCTGCTGGGCCACGTGGCCCCCTTGGCACCTCCGCCGAAGGCAGCTGGTAAGAGTGATTCCACATCCACGGCACTGCGCTGCCTGGGTTTGCGCTTGCATTTTGGTCATGACTCTGGCAGTTACAAGCAGTGTGTTCCTACGGTATGCAGCAATTGGGTTTCTGGCATCAGTTGCCTTGATGTCAGATCATCGTGCCTGGCGGCTCCCGAACTGGTCTCTCGGTGGCTTCTGAAGTGGACTTTTGTCACATGCCGCTGAGCGTCGCTTTGGCCAGTATACGATGTTGAGTAGCACTGCTGAGTGGATCATGCTCGTTTTGGGAAGCTCCAGCAAGGTGGCGGGATTGAGCGCTTCACGGGTGCATCCGTGCGGGCCTTTAGCTTCGACGATTCTAGACTTGACATGGGCAGCCTTACTTAATTTGTCTGAGCAAGTCTCTGATTTGTTGAATTTCCCGCTCTCTACTGCAATCAATGTCCAGAGTTTTGAACCATTCTTGAATCCTGCACCTTAGACTTCTCAAGGTGTTGCTTCCTTGGTTGCATCGGTGCAGGAAATGCGTCCGCACCAGTTCCAACTCAGCATGCGCCTAAGTCCATGCATAGGGTGCCCGCAAACACTCGCAAATTGTCAGAGTCATGCTCAGTGTGACTTTTTGAAGGCATTATTTTATCAGGAAAGAGTTGCCAGCTAACGGGTGCGTGTGAGCTGTGACCCAACACACTGGAAAAGTGCCTTCAGGTCAGGTTCAGCGGGTGCCCCCGCCGTCATACTGCCTTGTTTTTGGGTTTGACGGCTCATCATGTGTTGTCAGATAAGGTTAGAGGAACGAAGGTGAAAATTATCCATTTTCGCTTGGTGCAGCACAAGATGTATCTATTCAAGCCTTGTATTTTTGGAGGTTACTCCCCACCACGTAGGTGGCAGGAAGAATTGCGTCACCCTGAATGGTGTAAATTCTTGCCGCTGTCAAGGATTTGAATTCCTGTCCGCAGGAGGTGCAAGCAGCTGCCTGGCTCTCGCACCAAACAAGCTTGACACCGTGGTAGGATGGCCACAGCAGACGTACCGAGCTGTTACTATCTCTCCGTTGACGTTACCCGCTCATGCACTTCCCAATGTAGTATCGAGTGCTTAAGGAGACTCGTAAATTGAAACAAGTGCAAGTGAATAATATGCGCAGGGCGAGATTCATGGCCAACATCTTCAGTGACTTTGCATATGCTGCGGATGCAAATCTATGGATGCAAGTTTGACTTGCGATGGCCACACATTTTCAAAGTCAAAAGCGTGCGCACTTGTGCCGTGTGGCCAGATATTGCAATACATGCGCTCCCAAAAGCTAAATCGTTACATGCTGAAGCACTCTTTGCAGACGCTCTGGAATTCTGAAATTCTCAGTTTGGCTGTAGACATGCTTGATCTAGAGGATGACAGCCACGGCTAGCAGATGCTCGTAATTGTAGTTGCACCAGCTTGATCTTCTGTGTGCAGTTGAGCATTCTGATGCATGTCCTTACCTTCTTGAAGGTGCTGCTGTTGGTGCACCATGCGCGGGATTGGGTCTCTTTTTTTTGCATGGCAGGTCCCGGCAGGGCATTCGCCAAAGTTGACCTGCGAGCCGGGAGCCTGGGAGCCCTGCTTGGTGGACATTTCGATCACTTGATGATTGGTGCGGTCTGAGGTGTTTCACAGAGATGCAGCTGCGGCGAGGGCAGTGTAGTATCTCAATCTTTTGAGAGTCTAAAGTCCAATGCCCATTGTTGGACGCATCCTATTTTGGCTTTGGCAAGGGGATGCTCAAGGCCTGCATGCCTCCCAAGCCGAACGGCGCCAAACGGCACCAAGCGGCAAGGGTCCGAAGCATCCCTTCGTGACTCTGTACTTGGAGCTACAAAGGTTAGCTTGACGCTCACCAGAAGCATGTGAGCCTTCAGCAGCTTCGCAGGTGTTTCGAATCGGCTCAGAGATTTTTTTTTTTTCGTGGCGTGGACTGGATAGGATCTTCCTCACTGGCGTTCGCAGGAGGGATAACAATCAAAGCAACTTTTCTCAAGGTAGCCGCAAAGCACCGGTCGCTTCCTACAAGCACACAGACGATGCAAGCGCAGCTAGCTGACCCCAGCAAATCCTAGTGATAGACCTTGATAGACATGTCCGACGTTGGCTAAGTACGTGTAGCGGCATAGCTACATCATGGGAAGTGCGTGTGGTGCAGCTGCTGGTAACGTTGACAGGACCAGCACAGCGTTGGCCCGATTTGTAAATTGTGCTCTGTCTCCAAGAGCAGGCAGCTCCATGAAGCGGCCCGCAACGATGAGGTGCACTCTGCCAAGGCTTGTTTAACGTCAGTACGTGAACTTGTATTTGGTTGATGCGAATTACAACCGACGTGCTCAGCCTTGATCAACGGGCTTCGAAGCGTTTGGAGTCAGAGTCTCTTAGGGGCCCCAAAGCCAATTCTATCAACAGACAGGCTGCGAGGTTAGATAGGTTAGGTCAGCTGGCAGGCCTGTCAACCTGCACATACCGCCCATATCAATAGAATATAATATAGCTGGTGGGTAACGGGTTTTGGCAAAATGCCAACCAGTTTGCCCGTATGATTCGCATCTGGATCTGGTAGCCATACTGCTGCAGGCTGCTCTGACAAAGAAGAGGGGCAGTCTCAACAGCAAGGCCAGGCGCCTGCTAAGTCAGGTTCCACTTTTTGCATCAAAGTGAGGATCTGGCCGGATTGCATACAGCGCTGCACATTGCTGCTTACGAAGGCAGAGACCACCAAGCATCGATTCGCCTACCGTCGGTGTGCATTGGCTTTGGCACTGACCGAGGTAGCGTTGGAGTGGCACAACTTCTTCTGGACTCCAAGGCGGCACGAATAATGTTTGGAGCGCAAGCCTTTCCTCTCCCCTTTCGTTGCCAAGGCCGCTTTGAGCGCCAAGGATGACAGCCTTGACACACCTCTGCACCTTGCCTCGTGCGGCTCTGATGAAAGGTTTGTCTCCTGATAGCTGGTTGCAATTCCAGGAGAACGTAGAAGTGATATCCTTCCTTCTTCAACTTAACTAAAAAGTTTACTGCGCTGATGCTGACGATGCAGGTACATGGGCCAAGTGGCCCAGACACGCATAACGCAAGTGCTTCTTTCAAAGAGGCCAGGGTGATGTAGAAGCACGGATTTTTCTTCCGCAAACTATCAAAAGAGCTTTCGTCAAGGGACTGAAGCACCCAAAACCTTCTATTGCATCGGGCAGCCTGGCAGCCTTCGTTGGTTGTCTTCCGCAGCTTTTCATGGGAAATCTGAAGAGACTGGGGGTTTTCGGATGGTTCAAGCGATCAACGCCCTCCCAATGATCTTGTTGAGATCTTGCAGTGTGCCTTGAGCCAGGGCTGCCGTGGATGAGAAGGGTGCCAATGAAAAGACTGCATGCCACTCAGAGTTTGCCCGTGGCCGGCAAAGGGCAAAGCTGACAGCTTTCTGCGCACTGGCAAGGCACTTCACCTGGCTGCTCGGCGAGGGCAGCTGGAGGCAGAGTTGCTAAGAGACAGCTCGACGAAAGAGTCGAAGATGGTGCAAGGCAGTGCAGCAGCTGATGGCGCAAGGCCAACTGCCAAGAGCGCAGAGATGCGCAGAGATAGTCAGATAGTGACTGCTTGAAGACTGCAGGTGCTCAGACTTCCACTGCGGACAAGGACATGGGGGGCTCTGTAGACAAGCCGTCATCCAAGTTGTCGCAGCCCGCAATGCGCGAGCATATATTGAGTTCTGTGGAATTTCCGGTAGCGCATTCTGCGCAGGTGGCGTGACATATGTGCGCATGTGTGGACTGACATTCGCCGGTCGCGCTGCAGCTATGCGGCTTTTGTTTTTCAGTTTGTCCCGCCCTGCCTCCGAGCCCCCGTTTTGAAACTTTGAAACTTTGACAGTGAAGCGCAGTTATACGTTGAGCGCTAGACCACTTGATTTTCAAACAGCTTGTAGGAATGTTGCTACCTCATGTTCCGAAGGATGGCGACCTGCCACTGCACGAGGCGGCACGAAATGGCCATGTGGCAGTGGCCCACGAGCTGCTAAGGCGTGCGTGTCGTGTGTGGCACTGCAACACCATGTGGATCTCATGCAGGGCTCGGGTGCCGGTGGATGCGGTGAGCCGTAGCGGAAAGACGGCCCTCCACGTTGCATGTACCTGGGGCCAGGAGGCTGTTGTTGAGGCCTTCCGCACCACTGTGAGCGGGGAGAGAGAGAGAGAGAGACTCAAGATCGAGAAGTGTACCAAGCCTGAACGAAAGAAAGAAAGAAAGAGAGACTCAAGCGTGTTTGCCGTTCAGTAGATGTGTCGGTGTAAACTACATTGGACCTGGGGCTGCCAGATTGTGCAGTGTCAGGGGCGGTGGCTGCAGTGGAGTGGAGTAGGGGCCCCTGCTTGTGGGTACAGCCGTAGAACACCAGAAGTCTACGTCGCAAGCAGTGCTTTCACGCCGGTGGCAGAAGCGATGATCCTCCTGATCCTGGACACAAGGGAATAAGTGCAGAGAGTATGGTAGTTGATGGGGACTCTATAGTGTAACTTCTTGTCTTCGTGTCCGGGCCTGGGACTGCTCATCGGGGGCTGTCATGGGTAGAGACCGCAGAGACCTTGCCTGCTTGGGGCGTTGCCCCAGCCCTGCCCTCCGGGGTGGGGTAGAGCAGTGAGAAGAAGAAGAAGAGAGACTCAAGGAATCTCGAGTCCGGAAGTGGGTCGTTCCTCGTGTAGTGTGACCACTCGAAGCCGCGACAGTCTTGGGTGTGGGGCCGCGCCCTAGGGGGGCTGTAGAGCTCCTCACCACCCTCAAAGAAAGAAAGACTCAAGGAAAGACGAGAACTAGAGGTAAGAAATGATCCAAAGGAAGCGGGAGTGAAAGTGATGCAGAACACAACTGGAGCTGAGAACAAGGAACAACCGCGGGCACAAGTAGCAGTGCCGGTGGAACAGAGGGAGATTAGCCCGCTGACGCCACTGCTCCCTGGAGACGAAACCCCAGTGGAAGATGGGAGTACAACAGAAGAGCCCGACGGCGAAGAAGAACAAGACAAAGCAGGAAAAAGCTCGAGGGAAGAAGAAACAAAGGCGTGGCACAAGAATACAAGGCCCGCTGAGCCGCCGATACCAAAGAAGAAAGCCCAGGAACTGTCGGGCAAGGACTGCCAGATGAGGCTGGATCAACTGGCGTACCTCACGCTCTGCATGAGGCAAAGTACAGAAACAAGAAAGATGTGGGAGAAGGCTGAGCCCAATGAGGAGCACGACGCTATCGTACTTGCTGGCAAAATCCAGGATTTGGATGTGCAACTTGGAGAAGGAGCAACAGTTTCGTGCATAAAGAGCCAACTGGTGACATGGGGAGATCAAGAGCCTGCACAGATGGAAACTGAAGAGACGGCGCCGGACACGCAGCAGCTGACCATACCGAGACAATGAAAGCGAAAGGATGGGAAAGTTTTTAGTACTGCTACCATACCGATACAAAAGATGGAGACATGACTGACAGGAGAAGCGTTACATGCGTTACAACTGACACAAAGAGATAGTGAAACATTTTCAAAGGAGTAGAGGGAATTCGGCATGCACACTGGTGAATGGGGGACAATAGGATCCTCCAGGAAACCAGTTTCCGAACCATACCGAGACAATGCAATTCGTAACCGCACTGAGCCAAGAGGATGTCTGTGTGTGGAATTGTTCTGACCCTCTATGTTTGAGATACTACCCTGCTAGCTCCAGTGAAGGACGGGAAATTAGCAACCGAAGGCGGGAATGCAAGTAGCCTGCATCAATTCAAAGGAAAGAGGTAGTGGACATGTAAAAGTGTACAAAGGAACCAAATGGAATATGTAGAGAACGGTGACTAGGAAAGTCAGCCGCACAGTGAGCAGTGAGAAGCAGGGAAGCGTGATTCCTATGAGGGTCTCAGTGTCGGGGGGGGGGGAGATCTCCAGATGGGCTAAGTGAAGATCACTCTTCAACCTTACCTCGGCTAGCGAACCAGCGCTAAGCTGTTTTTTCAACCGACTATTTTCCCGTGAGAGAGGTGACATGCACCGGAAAGGGGAGGGGAGAAGAAGATGGGTAATTGGGGCGTGTATTTAACGTTCCGGTGAACTATAGAAGAAGAAGAGTATCTTGTAAGTGCTGAGTGTTTCGTATGTGAAGTCCTAGTACTCGCTGGTCGGACCGAACGCAGAAACCGCGCGGGGCTCAGGGCAGTGCCCTGACCTGTCCATGAGGGAGGTTTAGCCCGAAGAAGAAGAAGAGTATCTTGCCCGTAGAAGAAGAAGAGAAAGATACTTTACACACACACACATATTGCATATACATACATATATGTAGATAGGGTATTCCAAGACAATGACTGAACAGCTTGGCAATCTTGCCGAACACGAGTGCGAACTGCAGGCACTTTTGCAACATGCGGCCTCTGTGAACGCTGCTGACTTATGTGCAAAGCTCAGCGCTCACGTGTGGGAAGCCATGCCCAACTGCGGAGCACGATACTGTAACTGCCTAAATCGAGGCGGCAACTCACCATTGCACGAGGCAGGATCAAGCGAAGTAAGGTAAGCTGAAACCTGTCTGAGACACCGGCAATTCAGACGCACGCTGTACACTTCAAGGAGGGTACTGCATGCATGGCACAATGCGAAGGCTGCTAGATGTGGAAGACGCTTGCTCTGCGAGCGCCTTGTGTCATGTCGGGCACTGCGCCCAGCTGAACGGTTGCAAGAGGCGAAGGGTTGTTGTGACGGACTGAGGCTCCACTGGAGGCACGCAACCGAGATCAGCGGACGTGCCCTGGCTTTTTTGAAAACGGCAAGCACGCAGGACCTCATTCTAAAACATTAGTTTTGCGAGTTCGGGTACACGGGATTGGAGCGGCATGCAGTGTTCCCGGACTGGGGGTGCAGAGCATTTGCTCGGACAAGTCAGTTATGGTAGGCCCCTACATGCCTCTGCCGCTATTGGGAATTACGTGCGGAGCTCAGTCCTTTCGCTGCTGCTAGGACAGTCATCATGATATGGTCGCCACATGTTGCCAAACCAATCTTATGCAGATTAAGCCAAGGACTTTGCTGGCACCTTGATGCAATATGGAGCAAGTTCCGATGCGCTGGACAAAGAGGGCGTAGCCACCCCGGTCCTGGAATGCCTCTGGGCATTTGTGTAGCTGATGCTTCCTCAAGGACTCTCCAGTGCACCTGGCTGCATTCTACGGGCGTACAGGAGTGTCAGAGCCTCGGATCGGATTTGGAAAGTAAGCAGTTGGAGAAGAGAGAAGTCAAGCTCTGCCAATGGATGGCAGCAAGGCTGGATGTAATGATGCAACTACGTGCAGCGCCCCGAGACTGCAAACCCTCGGAACCGACGCGGTATTAGTGGAATCGGGTTCAGGTCATCACTTTGACTTTGAATAAAGACGGTGCGCCACCGAGCCATGAAGTAGGACCATTGCAGGGGCATGTAGGTGCAGGCCGATTCGCGCACAAATTTGACTCCAGGCCGTTCGCCCGTGCACAAGGCTGTGCAGGGAGGCCCGGCGTGGAAAACCTTCAGAAGCGAACGCTTGTGATAGAATGTGAAAAAGTTCATGATACTTGGCGCAGGTCGGGTAGCATCTTTGAAGCTGTTGATAGGTGGAGTTGGTGGTAGGCCTGCGCTGCCAGGCTGCACTAGAAGACGTAGGCCCGCTTGAAGCCAGCAGCTTCCTAGCTTAGGCTGCAGGTGGACACTCCTGACAACAACGGGGCCACGCCCTGAGTTTGCTGCAGTTTGGCAGTGTCAACGTCGCAGCACATAAAAGCGCGTAGCCGCGTAGCAGGAGACACCGCTTCACTTGGCAACCGGCCTAGGGGATGGCCATGAGGCAGTGAGGTAGTGGGTTGGGAAGGTTTGGGACATGGGCACCCCAACCGAGGTCACATGGTCCGGTTACTTGCCAAGACACCGTGAATGTAGCGAGATTTCATCCTTCATGATGGCAGGTCTTGGAGGCTTTGGCGCAGAATCCGGGAACATCGCTTGAGGCAAGCTTTACACCGCCAAACTGTGCGCAAGGGACGACAGACCTGGTTTGTGTGCAAGTTGGAGCAGTTCTCCCATGCGCGGCTTGCGCGTCGAGCAGGGTACACGGTCATTCTGCGCTAATTCGGATCGATGGGATGCGAGTTGCCGGCTTGCTGGCAACGCGGGCATGAATGCCTCCACCAGACTCATCCGCTGGACTGGGGCTGAGAGGCGTCTAAGGATGCAGTTGCTGATTGCAGAAGGCATGCGCGCGGGCCCAGCTCGAGCTACGCTTGTGCATGAGATGACAGAAGTCCGGTTGAAGGCTTTGGGCCTTTGAGGACCTTGGCTTGGTAAAGGCGTTGAAGGCTACCCGGTTCTTGCAATCCTGGCCATGTGGGAGAAGCTGGCTGCACAAGGGATATTGCAGTCAGGTTCTTTGATTTGAGGAAGATGGAAACCTTCATGAAGCTGTTGCAGCGCTGGGTCCAGCTCCAGAAAAAACAAGCACTTTGGGCCGATGGTCCGTACACATCCACGATCTTCTGGGACTTGATCACGCAAAGCAATCAAAAGTTTCCCGTTCATATCACGCGTGTGTCCCTGTGCGGGGAGAGAAGTTGTCCAAGGCACCGGCTTGAGCTGCGCAGATTTCGTCATCTGGAGATGCCTGACGCACTGCCTTTTGCAGTTTGGGATGCTGAAGCCGCTGTGACTTCTAAGTTACTTCTATAAGGCTTAGGAGTGTAAGCCTGCCGAGGAATCCAGCATGCTTTGGTGGGTCATTGTTGTCATGGCTGCCAATGAAAGTCCTTGAATGTTACACCAGGCCCAGGGAAGCATCCGAAGAACACCTCGCAAGGCTGACCAATCAGGAACCATGCGGCTAGCTGGCCCTGTCCAACTTGCAACTCGAGTTTGCGTTTGACAAAAAGCCGGAAACGATTGAAAAGGCATCATTCATGCTGCTTCCCCCGGCGTCCCTTTGCGGCGTGCCAAGCTCCCGCACATGATGGCACCTACCTATAGGGCCAGCAGGTGGCAAGAGCGTTGCGAGATTTTGGAGCCAGGCTTGTACCGTGGCGTTGGCTCGCCATGTGGGAATTGGACGCTTCAGTATCATGGATGTGTTATTCGCCGGTTGTGTTTTTGGTGTCCCGCGTGGCCCACTCTAAGGGCTTTGGCAAAATCACCTTCTTCCTTGGATGCTGACATCAGGGTGGAGCCGACAGCAAATTTTCGGCTGAGCGCTTGGCTCTGAAGTAGCAATTTGTGCTGTTGCACGAGTGCAAGCTTAGCTGACTACACATCCGAAGCCAATAGGGACAAAGTGTAACAGCGCGTGAGATTCTGACACTCCGGTCGCATCCTCTTTTTTGAAAGGCCCGGCGAAAAGACGGCTCGGTACCTCTGCTCCTTGCGGCCATGCAAGGCCGGGCCCTGCTGCAACTGAGAAAACCTGTGGCTTGCTCGACATGGCATGTTGCGCTGGCAAGGAAAGGCCCGTACTGTGGAATGCCTCCTACGTGCCAAAGCACAGCTGTGCACTTGGTGTTGGAACGGCTCCCCGGCCTCTGTTGCCTCTGAGAGCTCTGAGGGTGGCAGTAGTGGATGCGACCGGAAATACAGCTGATGCCCCGGTGAGCAGATGTGTGAAATGCTCCAAAGAACATGTCACATGGCATCATGTCACGCTTCACACTGCCGAGGCGCTCCACTTTGCCGCGGCTGGTGGCCACCTTGCGGTGGTCCATGCGCTGCTCACCCGCCAGGCCATAGCCCCAAGCTTAAGCTGACACCAAGAACGCTTGCACACCGCAACACACGGTCACAGTAGCTGTGTCTTGGCAGCAATGCTGGAACTTGGAGGCGTCGCCGAACCTCCAAAACCAACGGAACGAGACAGCGTTCCAGGTGCGATTCAGCGTAAGATGAGAGACCTCATGCCACAAGTAGCTGCGTAGCAGACTTTGATGACGGAAGCAAGGTACCATTTCCGTGTTGAAGCCGAGGTTGCAGGTACCCGTGGATTTGTCGAAGTGGCGCGAGCCATGAACCCTTTCGTGTGCAGAGCTTGGCAGCATCGAGGGCCTGCGGCAACGTAGAACCATGGTGTTGTGGTTATTCACAATTTGTTGGCATAGGTCAGCAGATTCCACAATGCCAAGTGTGGTCAGTGGCCTACATCTGGTTGAAAGCACTCTGCCTTGCTGCGAGCCAGCACCCCCTCCAAGGTTGTAAGTGTAGCCTTGCAGTGAACATGTTACACGAGACGTACATAGTGAGAGCAGCTGCATGCGTATTTAAAACCCTGTTTTCCACCTCATAGCATCTGGTCTGGCCTCTTCGCCTCAAGGTGACTCAACCTTTCCCAGGCGGGTTTGCGCAAACTTTGTGCAGAGCTCAGCTACCAAACCAGTTCAGCCTACAATGTGCCGCTCTCTTACTCGGGACCGTGCTTGGGATTTGGGGTGTACTGAGGAGTGAGAAAAACAAGAAGCTAACAAACTTGTAGAAAGTGCCCTGCTCCAAACTTTAACGAGGCCGTTTGCAGTGCCAGCAACGGCATTCCCCGGGGTGGCAAGCGTGCTTGCCTCAGCGTCTTGCGGGTGCTCCGCGCGTGAGCTCAGTGAGCTTGTGCCCAGGGCACTGGCACTTTCCCAGTCTCGGATGCGTCTGCGCGAGCCAGCTCACCAAGCTTCACCTTCAGGACATAGAGGTATGCAAAGCAAATTCTCGAGTGTGAGGCTCGTTCGCTTCCGCCTCCTCGAAGTGGCAAAGAGCCCTTGATGGCCCGCAGACTTCACTAGCGTGGTCTTTACTACATGTTTGCCTGTCGCCAGAACCTTTTGCGACGTGGCCAAGCAGCATCGCCAGCTGCAAGTATGTTTGGCGCTCAGCATGCCTTTCAGCTCTTGATTCAAGCAGGGGAGCACAAGTTTTGCGTTGAAGCTATCAATGGTTCAAGGCGGAGGCCAAGATTTTAGATACCCAATGGCTAGCTAGACGTTCCGATGGCCCCGAAGGCTTCTGGAAGGATCACAACCTTTAAGTCAATTGAGGACTCAGCATTCGGGCAGCGAGCTCTGCTTCATCAGTCCTGGAAGGTTGCCTATGATGCCAGTAACAAGCTGACTAGCAAGAGGAATGCATCGCCGCGGCGGGTAAGCTTGAAGAAGAGGCAGACCCAGTCACGCGGGTTGCTTGTGCCTTGGCCTTGTGAAGTTGAGGTCGAGCAAGCAGCTAAGTTGTCCAACTTGTTGCAGATTTCTGGTCAAGGCACACCGAACCTGGAATTCTTCAGGCCTCTCGGTCGGCCACGACGTGGGGACTGGCTGGCCGAAAAGAAGGAAACAGGGCAGACCTACACGACCTATAGCCGCCGCATGAAACCTCCAATGACACCAACGAAGCACACGGACACGATCCTTCTGGTGCCCATGGGCCAAAGCTTCAGCGATGGCATTGCAATAAGATTTCTGAGCTACTTGGTTGACTATTGTGCAGCCTTCTTCTCTGGTATGACTATCGACGTGTTCAAAAAGCCTCTGTCTTTGGCAAGAGCACGGAAAAGGATGAACGATTTCAACCATGACCAGTACCTGATAGAGGACCTATTCGAAGCACTCCACACCGAAACGAGATCGCATCGCAAGGCATACTGCCGCTTGGGCATCACAATGGAAGACATTTATCCCGGCGAGGAGTGGAACTATGTCTTCGGACAGGCCAAGCCCATGGAGCGTGTGGGCTGCTTGTTTGCACTCAACCTTTAATACGGAGGCTTCAGCAATGTATGGCCCTCTTGTATCTTGTGACTTTGTCCAATGCAATTGCGTGTCTAGGGTGCGAGGGTAGAACTGACAAGCACAAGTCAGGTGTCTTCTCCTTTGCACGGCACTCGCCCTTCTTCTACAATGGTCTGCATGCTTCGCAGGTGTTGATGCCAATGCAAAGCCCACTCACCGGGATCCTAGTCATCAATTTGACGCTACCTGTGAAGGTGGATGACTCCACCTCGTGTGAGCAGAGAGCTGTCTGGCTTCGTGCATGCTACTTGTATCAACACCTGTCTTCCCTGCTCTTACAAAGGCAAGGATGCTTAAAGCCGCACACTAAGGCATGAGAACTATGGTGCATGAAACCTGTCACATGCCTCGTCCTTAGTTCGGAGCTGCTGTTTGCAGTATCTTCTACCTTGTTTCTATTGTTTCTAGCCGGTTCATGTTTGATCATTTTTTAGCCTGCCTGAGGTTCGGAGTCCTGCACTGCGTTTATTTCCATTGCCTGATGAATGGTTCAAATGGACCTCATGACTCTGCTGGCAGAAGCAGCTTCATGTGTCCGGTTTGTCTGCGAAAGTTGCAGCTTGCACTTTCCTACGCCCCGAACGATTGCAGCGTGATCCCAAGGTACCAGGTGGGGCAAGTGATTTCGTGTCCAGTCTGTACACCGTCACAGTAGTGATCCAGGCCATTCTTCAAGTCATGAACCGAGTGTTCCAAGAGTTTGGTGGCCCCTCCGAAGCTGAAGAGATCCAGGCCAGCAGATGTTTTGCTTCCTATGCTGGATTACAATGCATAGCCAGACAAAAGAGCGAAGTGGCAACTTTAACAAAGTCCCTACACTTAACATCCACAAATGAAGGGCCACCTTGATTTAGCCTGCATCGGTTTTAGCCGAGATCGTGTTTGAAGACAGTCTTTGTGTCGGTGTGGTTTAGGCAGTGCCAAAGACTGACCACATCAGATGAGGAAAGCACCCTGAATTCATGGGTATGAAAAGGAAGCGTGACACCCGTTGTGGTCAAGCTGTCCTCGAGTTTCAGTCTTAGATGCCAACCTGCCACAATTTGGTGTCCTCTTGGCAGGTGGGCACACATGGGGGAAATTTGGGGAAACCTTGTCCTGTATGAAGCTGTTGGTGTTATGTTTGTCATGGGGAGGAAGCAACTCATCGCTTTCCCCAAGCATGGCACCACAATTAATTGAGACTCATGGCCACATTTCTACTGCCGTTTCTGAAACGAGGTCCTGCCTTTGCAAGGGGATGACAGTAATTATCCGAAGAAACACTGCATCCTGAAAACAATCACGCCTGTTTTCCCAGCCAAATGAAAAGCAGATGGCAGGTTTCAATTACAAGACTGTCCTCTGCAAGAGATAGGAAGAGAGAATCCCGTGATGATGCGGGATGGGGCTGGACAGGGGTACGGGCAAGCAAAGCTGCGTGAGCGCCATGGGGGCCGGGAGATTGCATACGATTGATTCGGGCACTAGGGCGTTTGTTGCTGTCATTACATGAACTGCTTACTGTTATTGTAGTTTCTGCTATTCCTACTCTTAAAATTGAAGCCAGTACGGTTCCAACCTTCACGAAAGCAACAAGAAGTAAATGAGAAGATCCCGATGTTGTCAGTTGGCTGTTCTTCGCATTACCTGCGGGCCGCTGACTTGGAGCCTGAAAAGAGCCGCCGGAAGCAGCACAAAGTGCTGCGCATCAGTAGTCTACAACGGCCTAGATCCCAAATGAAAGGAAGCCCCTCAACAAGGTAGACAGGAGTTAATTAAAGACCTCTTTTGCCTGTTGTGTGCTTCACAGCACGCAAGCTTTTCCTCGAAGCTGTCTGAAAGTAAACGTTGCAGTCAATGTTTGTTCGAAATTTTGCACACATGCAAGGTTCTTCCCCCAGGCAAGGTCTATCTACTAATGCTGGTCTGAAACAGAGAGGGAGAGGCAGTGTGTCGGTGATGCGGATCAGAGTGTGTGCCTGCTTGGAGCTTTGCTCCAGCCCTCCCTTCACCGGGGGGGTATAGCAGTCAGAAGAAGAAGAAGGCAGTGTGTCGCAACGCTCTCCATTCGGAGGGCTGAGAAGAAGGAGGGAGACAGCTTATCAAAGTAATGGCAACCTTTGTTTACCTCTTTCGTCAAGGCACGCTGTCCAGCACAAAAGATTCGCACAGACCTGGGGCGCTTGCTCCCTCAACCCTGACCTGAAGCTCAACGTCTAAAGGGAAGCAGCTTTGACCCGACGAAGGGGGACAGGGATGATGCCGAGAAGCCAAGTAATGGGAGAGCGCGTGCCCCAGCGTGGAGAAGAAGAACAAGAAGAATCAGAAGAATAGTGAGAAGAATAAGCAGAATAAGAAGAAGAGGAAGAAGAACGAGAAGATGGAGAAGAAGAAGAAGAAGGAGGGACAGAGCGAGGATCCGATTGATTGCTGAAGTAATGCTTGCTATCTGCCATAAGCTGTTTCGCACTTGAAGGCGCTAGACTTTTTCCCCACAGGGCGTCCGCACCAAACGGGAGAGGCACTTGCTGGAACCTCCAACTGACATCACCCAAACGCAAAACGGAGAATGCCCAGTGCACAAGTTAAGATGAGCGGCCAACAAGGCCCATAGGTGAGTGTCTTGGCTGATGCAGGAAGTGATGGCAGACGTCGCCTGGCTCGAAAAGCGGCTTGCCGCTCTCGCAGGAGTTGGCGCTGCCGTACCAGCTGCCTAGATCATCCACAAGTACTAGGAGGCGACCCTCGACCCACTAATGGTTCTTTCTGCAGGTAAGATGGGCGGTGACAGCATCTTGGCTGCGTGGCCAACCGTCTTCCTGCAACGGAATGTCAACTCTTCCGACCGCGTCGCGCTGCCCAAGCTCAATGTGGGACACACAGGCCCCGCTCGACGTGCTGGCTTATCTAAAACGGTGTCAACGGGCGAGTTGAAGTCAAGCAGCCCGACAACAGTTAACAGCATTTTGGTCTCACGCCGCGGCTTGACAAGCTGTGTAGCGGGGCAGCCTGTGATGACGCAAAATGAGGCTCGCCTCCGCACGTGCTGTAAATAGATTCTGCCAGAAGGCGGCGCATGCCCATATGACACTGTGCCTATGACACTGTGCGCCAGCGAGCATCATCCATTCAAAAGCCAAGACTCCATGATGAGAATTCGACAATTAGCCCAGCAGGTTTGGTTTAAGCATTGTCTCCTGCTGCCAAGGCGAGGTCTTACACTATCTCCGCAGAGCGCTTGACCCTAAGTCAAAGGTGTTTCAGTGCTTTACACGGTGATTGTTGTTCGGTGGGCTCTGTGGGATGCGCGTGCTCATTTGGGGCAGGGTATGGATTTGGCTTGTAAGGACCGTGCAGCACTGAACTCTCTCCTGGACCGCTCAGCACGAGGCCTTGTGATTCACATGGAGCAGCTGAGTTTGGACATGAATGAGTCTCTGAGATCTTCCGTCACTTCAGGGCTTCCATAACGCAGGTGATCTGAAACATGTTCTCGCGTCTGGTGTGCTTCCTGTGAGGCCCCAGCCGATTACCGCAGCGGCCCACGCTGAATGCCACAGCGCCAGCAGTGCCGGCAACTGCACCGCAGCCGCGCAGCTCTCAAAGGCTTGAAACGAATTGGTGCATTCCCGCCTGCAAATCTGCTCTAAGGCCGCCTGCAGGCTCACTGTTGCGAACAGCGCCTGCGATCCCAGCTGCACCACCGCCTAGCCCTCAGTAGAACGCCCGCATTCTGGCATGCGCAGAAGCAGCTAGCAGGATTGGAATATCCAATATTGTTAGCTGGCTCTGCAACTGAAAGCAGACTTCCCAGATTGACTGTATGGGAATCGGATGTGCGTCGCTGGGGACAGCGCGCTTCTTCTTTCTGATATGGTGCACGGCACCCGCTATTGATTTCATTTTGTTGCGCGTAGGCCCGGAGCAGTTGCGCCGCCAACGGCGCCAGCTGCGCCGGCTGTGCCACCCGCATCACCAGCTGTGCCACCAGCAGTTCCATCAAGCCCAGCAACTCCTGCAGCACCCTTGGCAGCGAAGCCGGAATCCCAGTATGGCCACAGTGAATGGGCAGGGTTGCTCGCGCCTGCATGAAGGCCGCTGGGACCCGCGCCACTGCCACCATCAAATCTAATTCATCAGCCGGGATCTCAAGCTCTCCGTAGATTTCAGGTACATGATGACTGAATGGACTCGATGTCAAAAGGCCAGCATTGCAGCCTGCAGCACCGGCAGCGCCCGCAGCACCTGCAGCACCTGCAGCACCTGCAGCACCTGCAGCACCTGCAGCACCTCTTGCTGCACCAGTATCTGCACCCAGTGTGCCTTCATCCGCACCGTTGCCACCTGCTGCACCAGGGGCGCCTGTTCCACCTGCAGTGCCAGGAGTCAGGCCACCAGCAGCACCCCTGCCAGCACGGCCAAGTGCACCCAGTGCACCCAGTGCACCCCGTGCGCCAGGCATGCCTGCACCAGGTCCACCTGGTCCTCCTCGAGCACCTGCAGTGCCCGGAGCACCGTTGCCACCTGCGGCACCCAAGTTGCCAAGCTCAGCTCCGCTGGCACCTAGTGTGCCTGCGCGGCCTCCTGGTGCACCACTTCCTCCTGCCGCACCGGGCTCAATCAAGCCCCCTGCGCCAGCTCTGGGTGCTTCACCCGCACCATCGGCACCCAAACTGCCATCAGCACCTGGGCCCGTTCCACCTGCAGCACCTGGCATGTCAGCTGAGCACTTACCTGCTCAGAAGCAATTGTCTGAGTGGATTGTGTGGCTACCTGCGCTATGCCATGTGTGTGCTTGCCACTGCAGGCAACAGTGCCTGCACCACCTGCACCAGGACCTGCACCTCCAGGCCCTGCGATGAGGCCAGCCACTCGGCATTGCTTTGCTTGCTCGCGACGCCCATCTTCGTGAGGACGGAACCGGCCCTTCGGTCTGCGATGGCGCCGCCAGCACCGGGCCAGGGTCGGATGCTTTTGCAGAGAGATGTCTTTGCAGTGTGTAGTGTTTTCGCAGGATCGCGGCCCCCGCCGCCTGGCCCAGCTGCTCCAGGTGTCTGGTGCCAAGCTGCTTGCCTTTCTTATTTCATGGCTGTGCTTTATGCTTGTTTAGGTTTCGCAGCCAGCGCCGCCTGCACCTGGGTCGTAACCCCACATGCAGAGTCTCTTCATCGCAGGGGAAGTCCGTAAGCACGTTGATAGGTTACTTGGAAGAGGGCCTCCAGTCCCTCCAGGCAGGGTCAATCTCACGAAGAGCCAGACTTAGTTCGTTGAAGCACCAGGACGGACGGCAGCGCTGGCACCGGCAGCACCCAGCGCACCCGCAGCACCCCGCGCACCCGCAGCACCTGGCGCACCCGCTGCACCTGGGCCACCTGGTGTGCCTCATCTGCACTGCGAACGGATGCGAACGGTGTGCTGTTTTCACTCGCCCTTCCTGACTGGTGACCAAGGCTGGCCCTCCAGCACCGCCAGTTACAAGGACCAACGGACTAGTTTTTCACACCGACAAAGTTCGGTTAGCAGTCGATTGGCAGTAGCTCAGCTGGTTCAGGACAAGCGTTTCTGCTGGCTCTGGAGGTCCTTCGGGACCGCCACCTGTCCGGCTCTTAGACCAGCGCTGCAGCCTGATCAACAGCTCCCAATTTAGTTTAGTGAGGGGATCTGCAGCTCCAAAGACCGAGGCCCCGCCAAGTGCATTGGGACGATCTGCATCTCTCTCAGTTAAAGTGCGTTAGCCAGGGATGCGAAAAACCTCTGTCACATTTGGCATTGCAATTCTCTTTGTTTGAGGGACTTGGAGCTGGACCTTCGTTGTTGATCCTGCCTTACAGCCTTTCACGTGTGATGCTTGGAGCTATATTAGGATGCTGGCAAACTCAGGGGCTCTTCAACACGTTCGGGCTCCGGGCCCGGAGGCAATGCTCTTGATGTTCGACCAATGAAGTCATGCATTTTCCGATGTTACCTTTTTCACGTGCACGCGCTTGTTGAGCTATCTGGATGCTGTCCCCTGCAGTCAGGTGTTGGGACATCGCCTGCTGGTTCCCCAACCAGGTCGGACATGCTGTACCTCGACACCAGTGAGCCAGTAAGTCATGTCAGGCCTCGAGTTTCCAGCCCTAGCCCCGGAGCAATTTTACATGAACGTCGCTTGTGCTTCCATGGCTTTCGTGCGAGGTCCTGGAGTCGCGCGGTTCTTGTTGCTTCTTGTTGCCTCCTGTTGATTCTTGTTCATCAAGTGAAGTGAATGTTTCCTCCTTCCAGCGCTTTAGCCATTGGACTAGGCCACCACACGGGCCGCCCCATCTCGGCCATCAGAGTTTCGGCCAACACCTGCTGCACCTGCCAGGTGCAAGTGGTTTGCATAGACGCAGCCGGTCCAAAGTGTCCCATTTGCATAGTCTCTTGCAGTTGATGTTCATTCATTCTCTGCAGAACACTTTGTTGTCCGCTTGCCCGGTGCTTGTACTCACGCTTCATCATCTGCAATATTTCCCGCAGACTTGCACTACGAGTCAAGCGAGGGATAAGAGAGTGCGCCTCTCCGTTACATTGCTTTCGAAGGAGAGGATTTGTTTCCCATCATGAGCATCTGCGTGATGATGAGCATGCCGTCAATGACCTACTACCCGCCTTACACATCTATGGCCCCGACATGTGTGTTCGTGAAACAGCAAATGCCTTGCCAAGTCCAGGCTGGAACAGAGCCCTCCACAGCTGCGACTTCGATATGCGACTCCATCCACGTGACCGTTTCAACAATGGGTGGAACTCAGGAGGTGTTTTCAGTGAAGGCATCTGACACGGTGAAGGACCTGAAGGAATACATCAAGGACTGTCGTCTTGGCAATGCACGCACAGAGGACATGCGGCTTCACCATGCTGGAGTCCAACTTCATGAAGAGAAGGCTACAATGAGCGAGTGCGGCGTCACAGAGGGCAGCAAGATCGAGATGGTGGTCGTTTCGAAGGCCGCCCAGATTCCACGGAAAGCCAGAGTCTTTCTACGACTGTCATCTGGAGAGATGCGGCCCCATGATGTGCATCTTTCCACACCCGCTACAGAGGCGGCAGCCGAAGCTGCAAAGCTCTGTGGCATTGGAGATCAGTGGGCAACTCTCTCTTTTCGTGGCCGGGTCCTCGACGGCAGCAAGAGTTTGAAGGACGCAGGAGTTGAGATGGGGAGCGTCATGAAGTTGACCATTCCTGAGCCGGTCGTTGATCAGTAGTGTTGACAAGTGACACGACAAGAACCACCTGGCAGCGGTAACCGCTGACAATTCAGGTGGAGTGCTGCATCAATGACCTGGGACTGGGGTTGGATGGCGCCGGTGCCTGAGTACAGTTGGGCAAAACTGACCGGATTTATCCCATCCATTTATATTATGAGTGCTCTTGGTTTGGTCAACCAGAGTGCATCAGATTTAAATGGCGCTGCAGGCCTTTGCTCAAGATAGCGCGCATAGCACCATGGACGGTGTTGTTTTCCATTGCTCATTAACTCTGTGCCGCGTTGAAGCCACAGTCACCAGTCACCAGTATCTCACTAGCAAGTGTTGTTTCCAATGACTACTGTAACGACCTTACAGTGACATCGGGTCCTGCACAGAATGCGCATCTGAGCCACAACGCATGGCACTGCGCGTAGGTCCTTTTGACTGTGCATGAAATTCGACAAATTCTGTTGGAGCGGGTCCCTGCCATGAAGCAAATATGTTCGGGTATGTCCTACACCATGTTGAAATCGTGAACGTGTTTGGCTTCTGGGTGCCAAAGCGGTGCTGGGACTTGCGCCAGCGAGAACTTGCTTATACTTGCTTATTCCTTGGCCGTGTTTGAAGACCGTATGCGAAAAGCCAGTGGTGTCATAGGTCTCAAACTTGTGACTGACCTTCGGAGACAAAGCAGAAGTTTGAAGTAATGCCTCACCTGGAACATCATACCACATGATCGGCGTTGACTGCCCAGGCAGCTGATTGCTTGATGGTGTCCTAAATTTGTCTCTGCCAAGTTACTTGGTGTGGCATTGCAAGGCTGATTTGAATTTCAAGCAAACACCGCAGCAGAGGGGTCGACATTTTAGCACAACCGAGAGTCTCTTGCCCGCAGGAGTGAGTCTCTTTGGACTTCAGGCCTAGTCGTTGACAATGGAACCGACTGGGAGTGCGTGAGGTGTTGTGCTGACTTATCAGCTTTACAGTATCCAGGATGCTAGCTGCTAGCTTTCGACTTGGTGGCTATGCTTGTCTGGTCTGTTGCGCAAGGCATGCCAGTTGTCCGCCAGGTTGCTTCGCTAAGATTCGAAGCTTGCCAATTGCTAAATCATGCGCACAGCTCAGGCGCAGTGTAAATCTGTGCAAAAGGCGAGCCGTGCCCAAAGACAGAGCTCGTGCCCAAACTTGCTTGAACGACCTTAGCAGAAAGCCGCGCCTGCACTGCTTGCACTTCGGATTTCTGCCTTGTCTGCAAGCTCATAGCCGTCTGCAGGAAGCCTGACCCTGTGAAGGCCGGCCGCACCGCCACCTCCCGCGAGCTACACGCCCTCAGGCGGGACAGCCAATTTCTGAATCAGCTGAATCCACAAATCCATTGTCTTACAAGTTTCCAGGGATTTCTGCGAGCCGCGCCTCGTCGCTCACTGCAGGTAGCCGCTTCACTAGCTCCTTGGGATGCATGCAGGATTGCCTGAGCGCACTAGGAACTGTAGCACTATGCAGCGCAGCATAGGCAGCAGCGCAACGCCACCTCCAGCGCCAGAGCCCCACGAAATTGGGACGCAAGCTTTGCACCCTCACGCACCTGCGATTTCGGCATTTGTTCCCAGTGCACAAAGGCCTGGGTCAAGGCCAGCAGTGCTACCCTGTGATTGCGGCAAGATGCGGCAAGCAAGCATTCCTGTTGGATGACCAGGCCGAGGTTTACCTGAACTGGAGACGAGCATGTTTTTTGTTGCGTGCACCGGGAGCGCAAGCATCGCAAAGTCACAATTTTCTGAAATTGCACCTACTGATCCGCTGTGCATTGCTTGCTCTCCCTAATTCACAAGGCTCTTTTAGTTAATGTATGCAGTCGTTTGAGCTGCCCTCCTCACAAAAACACTTGGAACAGCGAAGGTTGCAGTTCCACCCAAGTGCAACTAGACTTAGTTACAAACAGAGGCATGGATCTTTCTCGGCCAAACACTTCTAGTTCGCTATCCAAGGTGGCTTCACCAAGTAAAGCCTGGTCATGGTGTTGGACTTGCAGAGGAATCACTGGACGACGGGCCAGCACAAGCCTGCATGAAAAGTGGGAACTTGCACAAGAAGAAGGCGTGTGGCTATTGAGCTTGCTCACACTATTGGTGAAGCACGTGGTGTCTTTCATAGGTAGCAGTTACCGTCTGCTTACTCATCCAAGTGAAGGCCGATCCTATCAAACTAAAACTCTACAGCGGTCTGCGAACAGAAGAGAGTACCACACTTGCTTGTCCTTGACTGGAGACGCATTCAAACATGTCTCACCAAGGCGTAACCGCCCAGGCAAACAGAAGCCAATAGCACCAGTTTGACAGCATATCCACCATAACGGCGCTGCCTGCGCGGCCATGTCCGGGCATCCTGCAACTTGACGCAGCAAGTGTAGCTTGATGCTGTTGTTGCAAGCTTGTGCCCTTGATTCCATGGATCAGGGCAGCTACTTACGGTGCCAACAAACAGCACATCTAGCCTAGTTGTTTCCCTGTACAATCATCCTGTTTCAGTGCTTGCTGGAAGCATCATACCTCTCTCTACTGCACACAGTTGTGAGTGCCGGCCTGGGAAATGCCTGCAGGGCTTTCTTCGAAGCGGTTGCATCATCCAATTATCACAAGTCGGTCATTGCCGACTGGACTATGCTTTTCAGTAGTTGTTGTAATCTAGTGCTGAGGTAGGGCGACAGATGCTTCGGAGACCGTTTGCAAGGCCAGGCGCTGTGCAGTCCTCTCGGTTTCAACACCCAGCCTTCCACGCCTGTTTTGTTTGGGTTTCTAACAGTTAGTAGCAGTTAAGTTAAGTGAGAGCAGCCGTAGAAAGAGCCGCTGCCCCGTATAGGCTCATTCCAGTAAGCCTCACCTGCTGAGACTCGATTCGGCTTGTGCTGCGAAATGGCTCGTTAAGCGATGGGGCGTGTCAAGCAGCCAGCGCACTTGCTCGGCAATGCAGGCCTGCAGCGGCAGCGGCGGCAAAAGCAACACGCTCAGATAGCTCATCTTTGAAGTCATATAGTGGGTCGAGTTTTGCTTCGGCAAGAGGCCCTGGCCATTCTGGCTTGCACGGCCTGGTTGGCAGGCCTCCTGAAGGCAAATGGCAGTGTCCAGTACCAGTACTGAACAGAAAATGCGTTGCATGCATTGCTGGCACGCTGTCCGCTATTCAGGGTGCTTGTTTTGTGCTCACCCGTGGAAGTGCCGACGAGCCCGCTGCTCAGCAAGTGTGTGTGTGGCAAGGATGATATGCTTCACAGCCAGTGCTCCTAGAAATGAGATGCAACTGTCGCTTGTGTGCACACACGCACCATGACTGGATTTTTGGGCACCTCGCCTGATCCTTGGAAAGTTGTGGATGGTAGAACATCAGCCCAGCTCTTCGTCCGGAGTAGTCTGCTTTCAAGACTTCCAGATGCTGATCACGTTTGCTTGGCTTTTGATTCCAATAAGAGAGAGAGTCTGCCAGGCTTAGAGGCTATGAGCGCCGCTCTCTCAGAGGATGCGTCTCCACGGTCGGCTTTTCCATCTTGGACTGAGCAGGCCTGAAGTCCAGACTCGCACTGCGAGCGACAGCAGGCACTTGGCTGATTCCGTTTCTCGTTTGGTTGCTGCATCCCACCAGGTGAGCTGGACGCACTGAAGCTTGCGGAGTTGAAGGAAATTTGTAGGTCCAAGTCCTTGCCAGTCAGTGGCAAGAAGGCCAGCTTTCCAACTTTGCCCATGACTGTTTTCCACTGATGGCTTAGCTAACAGGCAGTACTACTCGTAGCGTGCATCACATCAATGCTGCAGCTGGAGGCTGAGCTGATCGAGCGCATCCTTGCTGAGGACTGTTTTTTTACGGGGACAGGGCGATCTAAACATGGCAACCACCTGTCTCACGAGCGTTTGAAGGGACAGTGCGCCTATGAGGTCTCAAGATCATTATTGCGGCGTTTAGATTGCAGTGTAACGCATCTGCACTGAGCTTTCCCAGGCGAAGGCGGTGCACAGATGTGGTATGCAAATTCATGCAGGAGTCTGGGGACCCTGCGAGCGAGGAGGTGGAGGAGGAAGAGGAGGAAGAAGAGGAAGAGGAGCCGGAGCCAGCCGCAAAACCTGCAGCGCCACAGCAGCCCTGGCACGTTTGGATGACTGCTAACAAGAACAATCTGGGAACTTCGAGATAGAAGTTTCAGAGATGAGTATGGCCTCGCAAGTTGAGCAAGGGTCATTCATAGGGTGATTCTTGCACGGTGTTCGGCTGCTTCTACTGGCAGCTGTACCAGTTCAAGCTGGCTGCACAATCAAGCGTATTGCTGGCGTGGCAGGAAGCCAAGACGCAGCAGGGATCTCAGAGAAGCAGAGGGAGATCGCCTATCGGCCAGGCACAGGCAAGTCAAGGTCAGATTTCATAGGAACGCCCCAGCAATGCGAATGGTCTGTTGCTGCCAATTAGTGTCCGTGTGTTCGTGTCTGTTGTCCAGATGTGTCAGGAATCAAAAGCAGGCTAAGTTGGAGTAGAAGAGAAGCATGAGTTTGTTTTCGTGTTTTCAGAAGGTGATGAGTTCAGAGGTTCCTGGTGCTGAGGTGGCCCAAGTGGCTACATCGAGGAGACAGAAATCTCCGGGCCGAAGGGCAAGCCAATTATTTCAGGCGAGTGAGACAAGAGAGAGGCGCTTCTTGGTGCTTCCATTGTTAGAACCATGAGCAGGCGACACGGTCTACTTCTTGGCTAGTGGGTGCCTCAGGGCAAGCTACTGCAAGACAAGCAAACGCAAGCACAAGCGCGCGCAGGAATGTGCAAGCACAAGCGAGCACAGGCAAGCACAGACCGTTGCAAGCACTCCCTTGCCATACAAGCACTTGCACACACCTCGCCGCTGCCAACATCTTTCTTTACCGCGCATGGTCGCCGTTCAGTACAAACAATCTTGCACGTGCTGAGCAGGAATTTGCAAGCACCACAACTTGCGAACGCCTACGCAGGAACTGGCAAGTACCTGGAGTACCCAGAGCACC